GGAAATTTATGAGCCCAGTCAAGTGGGAAGGAAATTGAAGAGAATTAGTTTATTATTATTATTATCATCATCATCATCTTATTTTTCTGTCAAGCTAACGATTGCAAAAGTCTGTTTATACTCTTAGTAACTATTTCTGCAAAGAAAACCCGAACAAAATAATTTGTTATGTTACAGCTATGTTGCAGGTTGTAACTACAAGTTGAAAATACATATGTAGTGGTTTTATTTGTTGTGTGGTTTTCACACAATCTCTCTTGGTTTGATAAATGTTTCTCTAATCAAGGTAAATATAGAATCTCAGCACAAACTTGAACCCCTTGTTTTGATTCTGGTTGTATAGAATTCAGAACATACTAAGGATAAAGCAGATAAAATAGATATAAAATGTCACTTCACCTTAAGAATACTTCTATTTGCTTTCAATTTTTTGATATCTGGAAATAGCAAAGTCTTGAATACATGTGATGAATATATTTAAATTATTCAGAACAAAATAATTGAGTATTTGCTGTCAAGTTCTAATCATTAGGCAAGATAATTTTCAACATCATTTTCTACACCAACCTGCCTACTGGTTTTTTCCATTTGATTTCCTTTTTTAGTGTTAATCAAGTAAATTTTAACTATCTCAGTTAGTAGTGGAGCATATGTGTCTTTGTCGTGTAAAATACTGCAGAGCTTCCATGTTTGGTTTACCTAATGTAAAAGAGAAACTACAGCTGCTTCCTTTTTCTAAAGTGTACGGCTTCGGAGGGACATGAGGGAAGGGGAGGGGAAGCTGGGCTTTGTATGGGGGTGGGAAGAGGTTAGGAAACTTCATGTGAAGGACCAGTAGTAAGCCGTGATGTTAAGAAACTGAAAAAATGTCAGCACGCTTTTTTCTGCAGCATGCCAGACAATTTCCAGCATACTCCCTTTCCTCTGCTTAGCGTTGTGCCTCATACGATATGGTGGCTGAGGTTGTAGGTTATGATGGTGTGACTAACAGAAGACAACTAAGATGCGTTTTGTGTTGCCAGACAAAAATTCTTCATTCTAACAATGTGAACTTAACTGCAACGTCTTTCTGTGGTGATTTTTTAGAGCATAAAATAGTCCAGAGGCTCATCTGTTTGGGGGAAGTAGCCCTTTAATCTGATGTACAGTGCTGAAGTGACAATGTAATGAGTTCATCTTATCTTCATTGAATAAACAAAGTTGGTTTACGTTCTTAAACACTAGAAATTCACTACATGTCTGTAGTAAAAATGGTGTAAAAAGTTACTTTATACTTTGTCAAAGCTTGTTTTTTTTAAAATGATATATATCAAGTTCTGCATATGAACCAGCTAAAGAGGAAGTTCTTTGGAAATACTTGACATTAAGATGAGTGTATCACACTAAACCAGACTGAATCACGAGACCTGTTTTAACTACAAATGTCTCCATTCTGGGTTTATTGGAAATATGCAAATAGGTATCTCTTCCTCACTAGATGAAACTTCTTGAAAATTTGTTAAAACTGAGCACAGCGTTTAAAGTTTCTTATACTTCCATCTAGTACCTTTATAATTGGAGTAGTAAATCAAGGCAGAGAGGAAGGGGAGCGGCACTGAAATCCTAACAGATGTGGAGGTAACAAGGTGGATTGCCAGTGTACACTTGGTGCTCTTCACTGCTGAGTCTGTCCTTCTGTCTGTTGATGCTTGTGAAGAATTGCAGTCTCACATGATTGCTCTGAAGAATTACTGGTCTACAGTAAGTTTCTTGGCAACTATATGTAGAAGATATACTTCTCTTCTGCTAATCCCACACAGTTTTGTCTTGTTCCTTCAGCAGGTGCTTTTTATTTTAGATTTTACTGTGAACTTTATATTGTCAGACTTCTCGACTTCCTGCTCTGTGAGCACAGAAGTCCACACCTTTGGGTTATGCAGTGAGTTTCTGTCTAAGGCAGGACAAGGAGGGGCCAAGACACTAGTCTGCTCTTGAGGAGCAGCAAGGAGAGAGAAGACAGCCCACTGCAACTGGTGCATTGACTATAGACCAGGCATGCTACTCCAATGAGCTCAGCAAAGCTAGGAAGGCAGGTAGGAGCCATGCGTATGAGTCTCACACACAGTGCTAAGTGCCATTCTCCATTTTAGCAGTGTCCATAAACTTTTAGCCTTATAAAGCCTTTTCTTCTGATTAAATGCTCTGGAATGGCTTACTCTCTACAACTACCTAAAAGGAGGTTGTAACGAGGTGGGTGTCAGTCTCTTTTCCCAAGTAGGACAAGAGGAAACAACCTCAAGCTGCGCCAGGGGAGGTTTAGATTGGATATTGGGAAAAATTTCTTCACTGAAAGGGCAGTCAGGCACTGGAACAGGCTGCCCAGGGAACTGGTTGAGTCCGCATCACTGGAGGTATTTAAAAGACGGGTAGATGTGGTGCTTAGGGCCATGGTTTAGTGGTGGACTTGGCACTGCGAGGTTAACGGTTGGACTCAAATGATCTTGAGGGTCTTTTCCAACCTAAATGATTCTATGATTCTATGACTAGCCATAGCTAGCTAGAAAAATATGAGAATGCTTTTACTAATGCAGCTACTAGTTGGTGCTTGCAGTGCACTTTCCCTTCTGAGACAAACAAGTCCCGAAGTACTGACACTAAAGACATGCTGCTGCTATCTCTTTGCTGTATTTTCTATCTTGAGTTGATAAGAAAATGATTCTGTTTGTGGTTAATGTGTTCAGACACGTGTCAAGATTTGTCATACGTTCAGGGAGATGCAGATTTTCTTATCACCACTTGCTTTGTTTTGTTCTTGTGACTTTCTGAACCCGTTCAAGATTTGGGGTGCCCTGAAGACATTAGACCTTAACAAAGCACTGTAGGTGAAGGAGTGAGCAGAGATCAGTAGCTGGGAGGGACGTTTGGAAGAAGCAAGGGAATGCTGGTGTGATGTTGGACAAAGTCTTTTGAGCGGGAGCACTTTCCCTGCCTGGTTGCACCTGTGCAGCCAGGAATGCAGAATCCCTGGGACCAAAGAGGGGGCCTCGCTCTGTAGCCTAATGATATGAGGTGGGAGGAAGGAAGATAATTTGTAGGTTCTGGTGCTGCTTGTGCATTTTGCTTCTAAGAAATCATCAGATTAAATGTATACGTAATATTTGCAACCCGGTTCAGTAATTCTTGCTCCCAAAAAAGTGACTTTCCTGGTAGCCCTATAATCTAGGTTTTCTTGAGTGAGGAGCCTATCTGCGTAACTCTCTTGGGACCAGGTGGTTAGCTTCTGAGGGACCTTCTTGCTAGGGAGATACCTCTAGTACTACATAGCAAAAGTAGATGAATTGCAGAAGTGATGTGAATTTTCCTCCACTTATTCTTTGGTGATTATTACTAGTTTCCAGTTGATGTGCACAAGTTTTGGTGCTGGGCTTACAGTCATCTGGAACAGTTTCGCTAGAGCTGAGGAAGGCATTTCTGAGGTCATGAAGAAGCTTCTGTTCCAGCACCCTGTCATTCCTGGACTCCAGTCAGGACCTTTCTTTGAATACAGGAAATTTTTGTTAAAGGCAGCCTTCACTATGATGTCAGAGATTATGGCCTTCCTCTTATCCCACCCCATCTACCTCCTTCCTCATAGCACAAAAAGATTGAAGGGGTTAAGGGTAGTTTAAAACTGTTCTTTCTCATTTTAGAATGGAAGCCTGTGTTTGGTTTTACATCCAACCCTGAGAGCAGTCATAAAATCAAAGTAGAATAAAATGAAAATCAGTGTTTCCCAAAGCAGAATGTGTTTTTGCTAAAAGTATCATTTCTCACTAGATAATTAACAATAACCTTGTAAATAATCTGAAAACTATCCCCCTACCAAAGAATGTTGCATTTTCCTATACTGTCTCCCTTTATATATGCAGCAATGCATTCGGTATGTTTATACAAATGTCAGTGAGATAAAATATATATTCCCAAATAAATAGCCCAGGTGTGGAGTTTCTACATTGCTTTTCTCATAATTGCATTATTTGGGTATGTTTACAGATTGGTTTGGGTTCATATCGCTTCCTGTTCGTTTCACTCTGTTGTCATAGCATAATTCTTGTGGCATAACAGACAATAAATAGTTACAAATTCTGAAATGTGGCACAAAAGAGAACGCAGAGTCGGAGTTTGTGCAAGAACTTTGGCCTTCCTGCTGGACCGCTTTGGGCTCAAGTGCTAGGGCTTCATAATGGGATTTAAAATGATGGCTGAGTGATGACTGTACATCATTTATGGGGCACATGGATTTCTGTTGCTCCTCCTGAATCTGAAGTGAAATCAAGCCCCAAGGCAAACACAAGTGTGAACACAGAGAATGGGTATTTTTCTTTTAGGTAGGAGAAGGGCATCACAAAAACTGGCTTTTTCAATATCACAGTTTTTAATGAACTGGTTTATGAACCTTTTTTTTTCTCCTAGAAGGTAGATGGGATCCTTTTGGAATGTCTGTGCATACTCTTAGATTTAACTTCGCATCAGCTGTTTTGCTTTTGTTTTTACTAGAAGGAGAGACTTGGGTGGTAGAGGCAGAAGCCTTAAGGGGGTTGGGTTTTTAAGGAGTGTTTACAATGCTTCAGCATCTTCAAGGGCAGCCTTGATTTTCTCAGGTCAGCATGCAGCATACCCTGACCAGTTCCTTTACTAGAAATAAAAAATTTGTTTTAATTTTGACCTGTTTGAGAAAGGGTTGCTAGGTTTGGGCTCAAATTCTGAAACAAACAAAAAGCCCCAAGCAGCTTTCTGAGTCACAGGCAATGCAGTACACAGATTTTAAAAAGTAATAGTCTGTAGTTGTGGGGAAGTTGGAGGTAAAGAAATCCCCTATTTTTTTCTCTGATTCTTGACTGAGAACTCTGGGTACATACAATAAAAAGTGCTTTGAAAAACAGAAAGACCAACTGCTATCTGCAGCAAAATACAAAGTAAATTTGGTATATTTGTTTGTTTGTTTATTTGGGTTTTTTTTAACATTTCATTTTTGGTCCTAGGTTTCTGGGATTTGCTACAATAGCAGTATATTAAAAGTTCATCGAATTCTTCGTGTACCCAGCTGGGTAGCACGGATATTTTCTTGGACTCTTGAACCAATCTTCTCATCTGCGGAACCCACGAATGAAATTAGACTGGGAATGGGAGCAACAGTTGACATCCAGAGGCAGCAGAGAATGGAGTTACTGGATCGTCAAATCATGATGTCTCAGGTTGCCCAAATGAGGCGGCAAAGGCAGCAGCAGGTATTGATATACGTTCTGTAAGGATTATATTAAGTTATGTGAAAAATACGTTTTTGGTTCATGTATCTTTTGTGGTTCCTATTTCTTAAAAATGATGTATTTCTTTATTCTTCTCCATCAGTCTTTCATACACTGCTGTACAGCTAATAGCCACTTAAGTGTTTTATATAGCTTTATATGTTGAAACTGCTTCACAAGCTGTAAGCAGAATGTCGGACAATCCTGTAAGGATCTCAGTACTTCTGGCATTCTTTCACCAAAAATGAGGCTGAAAGGTAAACTGATTGCGTCTCGGTGGTCTTTTGTAAGAGCCATTGTGGAAGTGTTCCTGACTCTCCTGAGTATTTGTCTTGTTAGCATCCTTTTCAGAGAGGTTGAAAATTGTCTACATAACTCCCTTGTTTGCAGATATACTTTGAATAAGGCTTGTTTCTTTTAAGAAAGTGCAGAAATTAAATTCTCTAGCTTTCTTACAGAGGTCAACCACAGGGACTTTCTGTTTGCCGTGTTTAATGCTCTTGTTTTATTTCCTTATTGACTAGAATAGCAGAGCCTTTTTATTTTCTCTGTTGTAGTCAAACCAGCAAATGCAGATATTCACATACTTTGCGTTGTAGGGCAGTAAAACGAGGCAGATGGTGTCTCAATTCACTTTTTCCTGTATCTTAGATGTATGTGCTACTGCTCTATCAAACCTAGTGGAAAACATAGGCTTTGCGTTGCTCTATGTGAACATATATTGCTCATAATTTTATTACAGCCTGGCAATTTGAGGTCTTTACTGAGTTTCCTCTGCCTGAAACACAGCTCTGTACTGATACACAAGTTCTCGTTGTGTTCGAGGTAGTGTAGTGCAAGTAGGTATAGCTATGTTATCGCTAATATGGTGCCAGAATTAGAGATGTGATGGCATAAAGCTTTGGCCAACAACTGGAATATGAATCTTTGTGTTTCTAGTCCCTGATTCTGTTTTCCTTGATTTCTTAACATTTCAATCTGATGAAATTGTTCCTCAGGTGTAAAGATGCTAATCTACTTTTTGCTATTCCCATTAGAACGTTAATCAGTTTTAACATAAGAACGGAACTAGAAATTACTCAATTCTTGAACATTGCTGTTGTAATAGAAAATGAATTGAAAGTGTCTGTTGGACTACAAGCTGCTGGCAAGAGTGCAGCCAAGTTTCTTCAGATAGGAGGAAGAAGCCATTTCCAGTTATGAAGGACAATCTTTATAATGTATCTTTAACTGCAAAAAGTGGTAAATAAGTTCAGAACGGTAAATTATGGAAGAGTTGATACCATTTTCTTCTCATCTTCTGCTTTCCTTAGGCTATGAACAATGAAAGTGGAAAAATGTCTTTTCATGTTTGACTTCAAATAGAGTTCTTTAAAAAGGTGGAGGGGTTTAAGTAAAATGAACATTGTTTGAACACCAGTAAGATGCTTCCCTTTCCAAGTTGACGAAACACTTTCAAGTTACCTTCATGTTTGGCCTTTAACTTGAGTGCAGCATTTAGTTAAGTGATAGTGCCAGTCTGTGAAACCAGTGATTGGAAGGCGATGGGATCAATGTATGAATGTTTCAGGGAGGCTCTTCAGAATAGATGTGTCATGAAGACTTTTGACCAGCCTTTTTTTTAACGACTCACTCACGGAATTTACTGACCATCAGCTAAATCACAAAAAGCATCGTTCACAAATGTTGAGATGTAGTGGTAAAAATGAAAAGCGGGCTAATTCCAATCTCAAAATAATATTTAAAAAATTGAAAACCATTTTCTGGACTGCTGTACTTGGGCAATTCTTTTGCCTTTAGAGGCTTAGAAAGGTATAATTTGAAGACAGTGGAGTTGAACAGATCACATTACAGATGGAATTTAGATGCTAATTTTACCTGTGGGAGTGAAGCTGATAAAGAATGCAGATCGGTTTCTTAGGGAGTTTTTTTTGTGAAACTGAAAATAATAAAAGCTGCAAAGTATATATCAGTCATCAGATATGGCTTTGAATTATATTCTAGGAGAATGTTCTGAAGATTTCTGGAGCCCCAATATGCTGTCTGTAGGTAATGTGCCATAGGTGAGATAAATTAACGTTTTCTCTCCTGCTTTCCTTTTTGTTTGGCGAGGGAAGTGAACTGCAACTTTCCTCTGTATGCCGTAGTGCAACAGGTCTGTTTAGGTGCCCCTTGAGAAGGTGCTCTGCTCATTCCTCCTACTCCTTTACTCTTCAGTTCATCTGTTTGAGAAAAGAGACAATGCCGTTTCCCTGTATATTGGTAGCATTATGGAAGGAGAACACGAGAACATGATAGGTGGTTTTAATGGTGCTCCATCATCCTCACAATGTGGCAAACTCTGTTCTGGCCATAAGGAAGCCCCTTTCTTAAATAGACGCTTTTTGTAGTAAGCTTATTCTTCAAGTCTTTGCGAGGGGAAAAAAAAAAAAAAAGAGAGAAAAAAAAGGAAAAAAAAGAAAAAAAAGAAAACAGGGAAAGAAACTGGGGAAAAAGTGTTTCTCGTAAGTTGTTTTTCCTGTACCTCGAAGATACTGGGATGTAAATAATTTTATCTTTTTTTTTCTGCTGTTCACTGAACTCTTTTATCCAAAGCAGAATCCACTTTGGATGCTTTCTACAAACAGCCAACCCAGAATTTCTTTACTGGAAACTCTTTGAGCTTTACCCTTCCCAGTATTTCTCTAGCTGAAGTGTTCTGGTCTGGAGGAGCCTGAAGCACGGAGCTGTGCGTGTGAGTGCTGGGTTGTCAGACACCCATAACTTCGAGGAGTAGGTTGAGTATCTGGTAGAATTTGAACATAAACCACCAGCTTCATTACTTGATGTACCTCATTTTAGGCCTTAAATGTTCAGTGGTACTGTGTCTGACTGTGTTGTTAGAAACTGAAAAAGCTATCTTATGTTGCTAGTTTCTCAGGGGAGTGTGGTTACATGGTGACTGATTTTTGTCTTGGTTTCTAGTTGCTGTGGATACAGCCCTTAAACAGATGGTAGTGTGCATATTGAAAACTTTCTGTTCTTTTTTTTTCTTTCACGGATAATCCTGGAAAATGATGAACTTGTCACAAGTGGAGAATTACTGAGCACCACCTCCAATGCACCTTTTGAGGCAGAAGAATAAAATGCGTGCCATATGTATTCATTCCCTCAAAGAATACCAGCTTGCTATTTTGTTACTGCTTTTAAAACTTTAGTTTCTTAGTTCTTTTCTTTCCCACTCTTTTGTCTATCCTCTTTTCTAGTTTAAATAATTTATCCTATTTTTCTTTTTTTCCCATTATCTGATTTCTTCTTCCCCTTCATATCACTTTCACATTTCCATTCCCCACTATGCTATTTTCCTCCCACATTTTCGTCATCTCTTCCCCTTCATCTCCATTGTTTCCCATACTTCGTGTTTGCTCCTGTACGAAATCCTTCGCTTTGGGGGAAGTTCTCTCCCGTCATGTCTCACCACCAGTAATCATTTACTGATGCATCATGAAGCTCATAGGATTTTAGGGATGGATGCTTCTTGCCTTTCTGTCGTTCAGACCAGGTGCAGTTGAGGTCTGTGGGCACTATTTTATCCTTTTGATACTGTAATATCAATGGACATTTTGGTCTTCCTCTCCTGACTTTTCAATTTCTTGATCTCTTTAATGTCTCAGCATTTTTCTAAAGTTTATCTTTCTGTAACCCAAATGAAAGCCCTGGTGGGAAAAGGGAAGCAGCTGCTGCATCTGTGCACCCGTGTGGTAGCAGGGAGTCAGCTTGACTTTCACTTCCTATTGAGAAACTTGGAGGGAGGCTGGCAGATAACCAAATTGCAAACAGATAAGGGAGGAGTCCGTGCCTAGGTATTATTGACAACACTGTTGTCACTAAAGATGGATATGTGGAAGGTGGTGGAAAATTGCGGAAAAGGTGGTCAGCACCTTCTGTTGGCAACTAAATACTTCTCCTTTGAGCCCTCATCCCTGTGCCCATTCGGGAGGGGTGGTGTGTGAACCTCAGTCCCTTCATCTTGAAAAAACACTTCCTGCATCCACAGAGCATTTATTCCTTCATTCATACTGAGCATGTTAAAGACACCATGTTGCCTGCTGCTTGATTTCTCTTGTTTCTTGGCTCAGAAAAGAGCTTCACCAAGTTGTTCCAGACTGTGTGGTAAGCCTACAGCCATATATGAAAATCTTCATTTCACTACCTCTTTTCTGCCCTATCCTCCACTTTAAGCTTATTTTGTCTTTTCCCTCCTGTGTTTTGTTCTTCTATTCCAGCTGCCGTTACTTTTCAGTGAGGCCAAACTCTCCTTTGATTCATATCACACAGCATCTCTATATGAGATTCTACAGCTTGCAAAGGCCAGACTTCTTCTATAACAATGTGACTTCCTCTAATTGTTCATTCGTTAGATGTCTTTCTCCTGGGACACTGGAGAGATACTGGTAGGCACACTGAGTGTCTCTGTTGTTATGGGGAGTCTCATATCCTGAGAAACGTACAAGTTTCACATTTTGTCACCTAAGGACTGTGAGGCTAGATTGCTGATTTACCTTCTGGTTTTATCTAAGCGGTAAACTCCTGACCTTGGAAAAAAAATAGATTAATGGAGCAAAGACTTTCCTGGCACAAGAATTCCTCCTCAGGAATGTTATCCTCATACATGATGGTAGAAAAAAATCCCTCAGTGAATATACTCCCAGACAGTCCATTTCTGCTTTCTCAAAGAAGCCTGAGAACCGGACCTGAGCATATTCTTTAGCTCTCCCACTGGCACTGAGAGATACCACTTTGACGAAGTCGTCTTCAATAGCTTCACAAGTTTGAGTACCAACAACAAGTCCTTCAAACAGACAATTTTGAACCCTGAAGACCTTCTGCAACCTTTATACATTGCCGTGTCCATATAAACGCTTGCTCTCACAGCCAGGACGTTGGATGGAAGCAGCTTGTTCGTATTGTTCCACAGATGTATGTATCATTGTCAGGAAGGA